GCGAGGTTTCCGGGTTGAGGGCTGATGCTCATGATGCGTGTTATGCGAGGCTTACCCGGGATTTCTGGATTCAAGGCACACGCAGCTGATGCTGATGATGCGTGTCATTATGTGTCATGCGAGGTTTCCGGGCTGACGGCTGAGGCAGGTGATGCTCATGATGCGTATCATTATGTTTCATGCATGGTTTCCGAGTTGAGGGCTCGGGCTGCTGATGCTCATGATGCGTGCTATGCGAGCCTTACCCGGGAATTCTGGATTCAAGGCACGCGCAGCTGATGCTGATGATGCACGTCATTATGTGTCATGCGAGGTTTGCGTGTTGTTTTGCTCCGGCAGCTGATGCGCATGATGCGTGTCAGTATGTGTCATGCATGGTTTCCGAGTTGAGGGCTCGGGCAGCTGATGCTCATGATGCGTGTTATGCGTGTCTTACCCGGGATTTTTGGATTCAAGGCTCGCGCAGCTGATGCTGATGATGCGCGTCATTATGTGTCATGCGAGATTTCCGGGTTGAGGGCTGAGGCAGCTGATGCGAGTCATCCGTGTTGTTTTGCTCCGGCAGCTGATGCTCATGATGCGTGTCATCCGTGGAAAGGATCTCTGCATTCAAGGCTCGCGCAGCTGATGCTGATGACGCGCGGCTTTATGTGTCATGCGAGGTTTCCGAGTGGAGGGCTGAGGCTCATGATGCGTGTCATTACAGGCCAGGCAAGGTTAGATCCGGATTTAAACGTCACACTGAAAAACCATTGCACAAGCCCTATTCAAGTCGTGCTGCAGTGCTTCAGTGATCCTTGAGTCCATGTTTAAGCCCGCGCCCTAAACGTTAAGAAACCCGTGGCTTAGGTGAGGAACCAAAACCTCTTCCGCAGCCTTGCTGCAGGCGACTGACGGGGCGTAATATAGGGGCCTAAACAATTACCTATGATATTCTGGGGGGTTCCTTATCAATATTATAGTATAACCATTCTTAAGGCCCCTACAGTGGGGTTCTGCTTTTTATCGGTTTTCATAGGGTTTCAGTCTCTCAGGTTTAGAGTAACATAGGGTCCCTAATAATTAGAAGGCCCCTATTTTAAGTCAAAAAGACCAGCAACCTTTACTTCAGAAATATACCTTAAATTATGTTGGTTCTTTTTTTGATGATTTCAGGTAGAGTCCTGACTTCAAGTGCGTTATGCTCACTGCAGACATAGTAGCTGAGCAATAATTCTTTGACATTTTCGGTTGTATCTTGAAATTACGGCTAACTTCTCTCAGCGCTCCTTATGCGATCCGTCAGGGTTTGAACAGGGGGCCTGATTTCTGATAGTTGTTGTTTTGTATATATGGGCCTTGCACCACAATTAAGAGGCGAACTCTTTCGGCACAATGGATAGATTCAGAGGCTAACGAACTTCCAAGCTTGGGTACAAGGGTATAGTTTGGCTGTTCGACATGAAAGTCTCCGGCCGTTTTAGACTCTTGGATTTCTAGCGTTCGGGACAACTTTCTGATGTAGTGCGGTCCTTCAAAGAGCCTCGACAAGCAGCAGCACGTATGTTTGGCCCCATGTTGCTGTCTGCACTGGCAAAAACCGAAACCATGTCATATTCTGTCACATCTGCTGCGGACGGAAAGAGATCAGAGCGTCAGTTTATGGCTTTCGGGGTTCAGACCTCAAGTCTCAACGTGCTCCAAGTCCTAGATTGTTTAGGGTTTAGGGTTTAGGGTTCATAAACCCTCGACCATGAGTTGTCCCCACCCCCCAGACTTAAAACCACTCCGAACCTTAAGTGCGGCTGTTGTCAACGAGGGCTCCCTGCAAGATTTCTATGTTCTTCACTAGGAGCGTACTGCAACAAAACTTCGAACAGTAGGATCGTAAAACAGCGCCCCAAACCCAAGACCCCACACCCAACGCCCCTTCACACCCAGCTCCGCACAAACCGTCTGGCTAAAACCCGATAGAGACACGAGAATAGTGCTGTTAGCAGACATTGCCGTGTTGGCTGACTTCCTGTGCAGGCAAGATGCAGGTTCTTGCCACGCAGGACGGATTCAGCAAGTTTAGATTGAAGAGGCCTTAAACCCAACCTCCCAAAACCCGAAATAAACACTAAACCCCTAAACCCTAAGCTGTTGCTCCTTGCGGTTGGCGGCTGCAGGGTCATCATCCTTAAGCATCCGTTAAAAACGTGGAGCCTGAATCCTTTGATCGTTGCATCTCGAACCCTAAGCCCTGAGGCCAATGCCGAATCACTGTTTAGGGCTTTCATTGTGATCAAGGGTATATGCCCGAACGACGTAACGGCCCTATACGACCCGACAGACACGCCTTAACCCTACGTCAAACCTGTGCAGCTGACGCCCTCAGCCCTTAGCATCGAGCGCCCACCATAGAACCCCCTCCGACCTGTGTCGAGCTTCTTCTTGGCCCGTAGGCAGCCCCGGTGTTCGTCGAGTTTCTCCGGGGGTGCTGCCCATTGCCGGTTCTGATGCCTTTGCCCCTAAAGGGTTTAGAGTTTAGGGTTTGGGGTTTAAGACTTAACCCTAAACCCTAAACCCTAAACCCTAAACGTCCCCTGATAGTGCTTTGGTTCGTATAGTCGTATAGTAGATGGCACCGCCCAAAGCCCTTCTTCCACCGCTATATTCCACCCAAGCTACCAGAAAACATTGCAGGCTCAGTGAGTAGTAGTAGTAGTAGTAGTAGTAGTAGTAGTAGTAGTAGTAGTAGGAGGTCACTGTACGACAAATCACATTCTCAACCTATTCCCACATGCTCTGTCACTGGAGCTTGAGGGTTCAGGGTGTATCAGCTTAGTAGTGTGGGGCTAGGGTTTAATATCGAGGCCCAAATAATTACCGATACTGCACATGCCGTTTTGGGGGGTTGCTTATGATAATTACAGTATATTGGGCCTCCAAACCCTATTCTAATTATCAAGGCCCCTAAACCCTAAACCCTAAAAGGCAGCTCTTGTAGTATCCAATTCAAAGGAACTCCCCCAAAAAGCCTAGTCTAACTATTAAAATGCCCCTACATGCTTTGGGTTTCCGGTCTGAAGCTTCCCTCTTTCAGGACTTCATAGGCCAACTCTTGGTTGAGGCCAGCAGACAGCGCAGCTCGGAGGAACAGAAAGATTCAGAGCTATTTGGGTTCGGGGCATCTGGCTTGCAAGGGTCCTAAGCCCCCAATCCCCCAGCTGGAGCCCGGCGCAACGAAGCTTCTGCTTTGAGATGCTGGAAAGCGGGGTTCAGAAGAACCGTAAAACCCGGAAGCCAACATCCGATGGCTTCAACCCAAGACTACATCCCTAGACTGACTCTAAACCTTAAGGCCGAAAGGGAGAAGGAAGAATGAAAGTAGCAAGGAGTGCAGGGGGACTCCATTGAGGCCTCTACGCAGAACTGTTGACCGCCTTCTCCCAAAGTAACATGGGACAATGCAGGTGTGCAAAGAGAGCACCTCCAACAAATACGCAATAGCCTTTGCGCACGAAATGCATCTGAACATCATGAGAGTCGAATCTACACCCTTAACATAGCAGACTGCTTCATACAAGGACCCTTCACATAAGGACCCCTACATAATATGAGATTCTCCTAGGTCTCAGAACGCCACTTTTGAAACAACACGACAAAGCCGGTGGAACATGCTACGCTTGCTATAAAACCCTACACAAACCTATATCATTAAACATGAAAGAGCCCCCCTAAACCCTAAACCCTAAACCCTAAACCCTAAACCCTAAACCCTAAACCCTAAACCCTAAACCCCCAACAAAACAGAGTTCCTAAACTCCGTACTCACAAAAGAACATCCCACAAAAACCTGAGAGAAACCAAGGAGGAATCTCCCAAGTGATTAGCCAGACGATCGGTTTCGACGGCATGGAGTGCCCCAACTGAAGCTTAAGAGTGTGGGGTTTAGGGTTTAGGGTTTAGGGTTTAGGGTTTAGGGTTTAGGGTTTAGGGTTTAGGTTTAGGGCCACAGGAGGTTGATCTTGAGCGTGCTATAGGGCTTGGGAATTAGGGGGGGTTAAAGGTTTAGTATAGAAGCCTCAATAATTACCTACACAGTTTTATAAGGATTGTTATAGTTATAGTAGAATATACCCCAAGACCCTATTCTAAGGCCCGAGCGATCGCAGGTCCAG